TAATGGCCTCCTTGATGTTCACAGTTTTCTACTGTTCCGTGTCGGCGCTCTATTTTGAGGTTATGTCAGAAATATCTATCTGCATCAAGTTGTTCATGACTTTGATTTATATCGTTTTATCATCCTGAAATTTCCTACGATTCAAAAATAAAACATATCTTCATAATAGGAGAAAAGACTGTGAAAATCAAGGAAGCCATACAGGCGTTTGGCAATTGGACGGCTTTTTGCAGAAAGAAACCAACCCAGAGAAATAAGCACAATTAGGTTCATCAGTTTTGACATTGATAACAAGTTAATTTCAGACCAAACACGATTTTAATTAATGGCATACTAAAGGCTTTAAATATGTGTATGGATCTTTTTTACAGTAAATGGTATTACTCGTAATAGTTTATTTTCCTCAAATCTAGATTTTTGATATTTAGTGGGTTGGTTTCTTTCTGCAAAAAGCCGTCCAATTGTATGAACGACAAAACGCATACACATAGGAAACGATCAACAGAACAGGAAAGTTCCTAGGGATCTTGTTATTCAGAATGATTCGAAAACCTTAAAAAAATGCTGTCTGGGGTGCATACAGAAAATAGAGTAGAGTAGATCGAAATATTGTTTTTCATCTACAAGTTTTCTCAGATGTGTTGTGATTGTAAGGTATTTTTCGGGCAAAAAACATTTGTCCTGGAATATTCTGTTCAATTTATTGATAAGACAAACATCTTTTGATACTGAATCCTTGAAAGGAGTGACTTCAAATATTTCAGTATGTTTGAAAACTACCAGACCCTGAATTTTTAAATGACGAGAATTTGCGTCAATAATTTTACGAGGGATGTCTTTTAAGTTCTGCATATAGAAACATAGTAGGCCGCGCGGATCGGACGTCAGTACTGAAGCTTAACCTCACTCTATAGTAAACTTAAATTCAAAGTTTCACAATAATACGTGCAGTGTTCTCACTACAGTGTCACCAAGTCATTAGAAAAATGGAACTCAACCGAGAACATTTTCGCGCCATAATTTATTACAACTTTCAGAGACAATTGGTGAGTTACTGTCTGTTTTCGGCAACGAAGCGCCACATCAGTCGACAATTCCCCGTTAGTATGAAGAATTCAAACGTGGAAGGGTGAGTCTTAGCGACGATCCCAGGGTGGGTGCACCAAAAGCGGCAGTCAGGAAAACGTAGATGCTGTGCGCAAACTCATCATTGAAGTTAGACATGTGACATATCGCGAGATTGAGGCGTCCTTGAAGATCTCAAAGACCTCAATTCAAAAAATTTTACATGAAGAATTAGGAGTAAGAAAATTAGCTTCTCGTTGACTTAAGAGCAGAAAGCAGCCAGGGTTAATTGGTTTCAAAAAACGCTTTACCGTTTCAATTCCGGAAACTCAAAAATCTGTACAGCATTGCTGGTGGTGATGAATCGTGGATTTACTGTTATGAACCAGAAAATAAACGACAGTCGGCTGTTTGGGTGTTCCAAGGTGAAGAAAAGCCAACAAAAGTCATCCGTTCTCGAAGTGTTTCGAAAAAGATCGTCGCGACATTTATGTCTAAAGCGGGTCATATTGCAACAATTCCTCTTAATGAGCAAAGAGCTGTTACTGCGGATTGGTATACCACCATTTGTTTGCCAAAAGTCATCACCGGGCTTCGAAAGATCAACCCCGAAAGAAGAATCATCCTCCACCAAGACAATGCAAGCTCGCGCACAGCCCAACAAACAAGGCAGTTTTAACGGAAGAAAACGTGGAATTATTGGACCATCCTCCATATAGTCCCGACCTAAGCCCTAACGATTTCTTTACTTTCCCGAAAATTAAAAACAGACTGCGTGGTCAACGGTTCCAGTCACCAGAAGAACCAGTTGACGGATTCAAAAATGCCGTTTTGGATCTGCCAGCAAACGAGTGGAATAAATGCTTCGAAAATTGGTTCGAGCGCGTCAGATGTGTATTAATCTTCGTGGAGAATACTTCGAAAAACAATAGAGTAATTTAAAACTACCTAGCGTGTTGTTTTATTTCCATATGCAAAACTTAAAAGACATCCCTCGTATATATGAAGGGTACAGGGGAAAAAGATGAACGTCACAAATTTGGTGCTCTGCAGTTAGAACAGACAACATGATGTCTTAACGAAGCACAGTCCCATGATGTATTGAAGACACGCAAAAACAATGGCAGTTCGTAGTTATACCCAAATGAAAAATCACCGTGCAGGGAAAAGAAGATAAATGTCACAGCCGTTGTATGAAAAAAGATGAACGACCACTGATCGTCACCGAAACAATTTACATACACCAATCTGCGACGAAAGAAATAAACTCTTAGTAATCATTTTTAAGCAGTTACCATTAATTTTCTTTTGTTAGTCCTATATTCTTTCGGCCAAAGATTTTTTGGTCAATGTTTTTTTCCCGTCCCAGCTAAAGAAATACCTAGTCATAATTCTGCGTTTGAGCTATTGAGGTTAGAAAATCCCCTTTTTCTTATGTTCTAGGCCTTGTGTAATAAATTTCTTCTCATATTAGAACAGACTGTACGACAAACGCACTTTGCATTTTGCTGATTAATCAAACCTTAGATTTTACAGGGTGTCGTAACGACGAATGGCTCATCTCTAGCCTCAATGTTTCAAAAAAGTTGAATGCAGGCATGGACCCTAACACATAAAAAATGTTAATAATCATAAGGAGAATCTCAAAATAAAAAGAATTTTCCATTAATAAATGTTTGATGTGGTTTCACTTTCAGCTCAGAAAATATTTTTATTCAAAATTTAGCTTTTTTCAATTTCCTATAAGGGGCTGTTCAAGTATTACGTGAGCACTATGGGGGGCGGGGGGGTCTTTGCTTTGCTTTGGATGACATGGGGGGTAGGGGAGTCTAGATGATGATTACGTCATCGGTAGTTATTTACTTTTTTACACGAATGGCAACCCTCACATTGTCTTTGCTTGAAAACGAAACGCATTTTCGGGGATTCCCGCAAATAATGCATACGTTTAGTGAACAGCGCGCGGTAATTCCTGTACTCGCTTTAGAACCGAGTAGGGGAATTACCGCGCGGTGTTCACTTGTCTAAATTTCCTCTATCAGTATATTGTTTCATTTGGATACTATAGCGAGTAGACGTATGGTAAACATAGTAAAGCAAATTAACATTTGTGTTACCACTGTTTCCATTAGCCAAAGTTTAATGTTTAAATAAGATTTCGTTTCACATAGACAAATCCAAGTTATACCAAAAATTGTTTGAAAGTTTTAAAAAATCTCATACAAGTACGAAAGTACAAAATGTACAAAAGTTAGTTAACGAAGTCTGGCGAAATTACAAATTACAAGCAAAATCCGACAAGCAACCAGATATTATTGTATCTAAGAGAATCGAAGAAGAATTGCAAGCGGCGCCTAAGAATAAATCCAATCTACTACATTTTTTTTCTGAGATGAGTGACGAAATCATTTTAGGTACCTATGAGTACTAGAAATATTAGAAATCACCAAAAAGTTTCTCTTTACTGAATAGAATAGAGGTAATATTCATCATATTATAGATTTATTTCTTATGATTGATTCCGTCAATTGGCCACAAAGTACAGGATGTTAGTTTTATACATACAGGTATATACAGAAAACTAACACCCTGTATTTGGTGGCCGGAACGAATTTCTCGTTTAAACATATTAGATTTAAAGCCATAGGGTTTTATATTTACCATATATATTGCCATACTTTGTATTTATGTAGCCTAATCAGAGAATCTTTAGCAGAAGCCATAGAAAGTTTTTATTTTTAGGCAACCTATAAACCTGCATAAAAAACACAAATTATACAGCCAGGTTCAAATATTAAAAAATAGTAAGAAGATAAAATAAAACCAGGTAATGAATCACAACAGCAATGCGAAATTAATGAAAATATAGATAAACAGAGAGCAAAACCTTTCAGGAAGCTATGAAAAATAAGATTGCTGTAGTCGAAAAAAATCTGAATGCTTTGTATTCTGCCAGAGATACTATGCCAAGCCATGCCGAAGTTGATCATTTTTCAAATTATAGTTAGAACGTTATAATTATAATATTAAAAAAACAATACATTAATTGACAAATGTTTACGTAAGCATGGGGGGACGGGGTAAGAGCTTTGCTTACTCTTGCTGACAAGGAGGATGTGGGGGTAGATAATTGTAATAAATCTGCTTATGTGATACTTGAACGGCCCCTAATAAAGAATCGATGGTACTCCGTCTTCGACCAACCCTGTACAACGAGTCTAGGAGTCTTCAAACTTTTAAATTCAGTTTTCTCAAAACTTGTATTTTGTGACATTAAATCTTTTTTCATCTGTACCCTTGATATCCTGTCAATGCCTGTTGCAGGAAAGCATACCTATTAAAAACGTAAGATCTGAATTGTTCTCTTCATTCTGCCCATCATTTATTGCCTGACGTAGAAATAGCGGACATCCTCATCATCAAATCTAACGACCCAATTGTTGTTTGCCCACGTTTTTCCGAGTGCTGTTTGCGTTGGTGATCAATACGAGGGATGTCACACAGTCGACAATTCCCCGTTGGTATGGAGAAACGGACCAAAAACGGCAGTCACCCAGGAAAACGTCGATGCTGTGCGCAAACTCATCATTGAAGATAGACATGTGACATATCGCGAGATTGAGGCGTCCTTGAAGATCTCAAATACCTCAATTCAAAAAATTTTACATGAAGAATTACGAGTAAGAAAATTAGTTTCTCGTTGGATACCCCACCTATTGACTGGAGAGCAGAAAGCAGCCAGGGTTGATTGGTGTCAAAAAACGCTTGACCGTTTCAATTCCGGAAACTCAAAAAATGTGTACAGCATTGTTAGTGGTGATGCATAGTGGATGTACTGTTATGAACCAGAAACTAAACGACAATCTGCTGTTTGGATGTTCCAAGGTGAAGAAAAGCCAACAAGTCTTCCGTTCTCGAAGTGCTTCGAAAAAGATGGTCGCGACATTTGCGTCAATTCCGCTTAATGTGCAAAGAACTGTTACTACGAATTGGTATACCACCAAAAGTCATCACCGAGCTTCGAAAAATCAACCCCGAAAGAAGAATCATCCTCCACAAAGACAATGCAAGCTCGCACACAGCCCAAAAACCAATGCAGTATTCAACGGAAGAAAACGTGGAATTATTGGACAATCCTCCATCCAGTCCCGATCTAAGTCCTAACGATTTCTTTACTTTCCCAAAAATTAAAAACAGACTGCGTGGTCAAAGGTTCCAGTCACCAGAGGAAGCAGTTGACGCATTCAAAATGGATCTGTTAGCAAACGAGTGGAATAAATAAGTGCTTCGAAAATTGGTTCGAGCGCATGTAGATGTGTATCTTCGTAGAGAATACTTCGAAAAACAATAAAGTCATTGAAAACTACCTACCGTCTTGTTTTATTTCCATATACAAAACTTAAAAGACATCCCTCGTATAACGATAAGCTTTTGTCTTTGATGTAATTTTTAGATGGACGTAGATCATAATAGATTTGCGATTTTATTGGGGGGCATCTTGAGGATACAAATACACGTCTGCCAATTAACATAGCTTACAAAAATTCAAATCATCGGAAGCAAGCGCCTTGTGAAAACATTGACACATTTCAGCTTGAAATAATTTAGAGATAAGAGAAAATTTGCCATTACTCTTTTTATTATTTCATCTGTAGACTCGCAACTATTTCCCTTCATGATAGCCATAGATATTGATGAAAATGCAAAAACTGCAACAAAGAAGGACTTATTCATAAATAAAAACTTACCCCAGACCGAATATATCTGTGACAAACCGCCAGCTGCTTACTCTCACTGATCTAAGATATACTAGTCTCGCGGAACAAATGCCAAACGACCAACAGACCGGTTAAAAAAATTCGCGCACTATGCACATTATGAAGTGCCGTAGATCATAGTTTTGCGTTTTTGATAGCTCGTATTCTGACAGTATAGCACGACAGAAACAAACCTACATCTATCAATAAACATCAACATGTTGCTTTTTGCAAAATATTCAGTTCAACAACACATTTGAACAGAATAGTTTGAAATTTGAGCGAGCTTAAAATTATTCACTTTATAGTTGCATCTGTAGAATCGCAACTCTTTGCATCCATCGCAAGATATTTTGCTATAATTATGTAACAAACTTTGTTTTGAATAAGACACTTGCTCTTACTGGCCTAAAACTCTAGACCAGTGGTCGCCAACCTTTTCAGTGTGTTGAGTGAGATAATTTTGGAATAAACACCTAGTCACAAGCAATGTAAGACAACTTAAATGAAATTATACACAGTTGTATGCGACATGCATGAGTTTATTTGACTGATACTAATACATACTAATAAACTTAAATAAACTAATAACTAATACATACTACATGACTACAACCATTAACACCAATCGTAGGTGTTTAAAAAATAAACAAAAATTTTCGTCAGCTACAATTGCACATACGATTTGATAAAGGTAAATAAAAATAAAAAAGGCAATGCACTATTTTAAACACATGCATGACCAAATAAAAAATGCGTATTCAATGAGAAGCCTGACGCTCACACTCACTGATAATTTTTTCAATGTTTGGAGTACAAACTGATACCGCCATTTGAATACAATTATCCAAATGTTCATCTGTAAGTCGATTGCGGTATTGATTTTTAATAAACTTCATATTTGAAAAAGAAGATTCATACAAATAGGTTGAACTAAATAACGCTTTTACTTTTAAGGGAACACGACACAAAACTGAATCTCTATCTTTACTTACTGGTCAGATATATTTTGTATTTGAGACTAATGATTTTAAAGCTGAATAATTTTGAAACGCGATCACTTCCATTTCTGTCGCAGCGATGTCTTCGCTAAGATTCTGCTTAACAGAAGTTGTAAACTGTTGGATATCAACTTCCATGAAGGGTGAATCAACAAATTGCGCAATTTCGTTGAAATCTTTGAAACGATTTTTGAAGTTATCCTTCAAGTTAAACACAATTTCTACATGATATTTACTGTCGTATGGTTCTAATGGACTTTGAGATATATTTTCTGAAATCGCCATCGATTAAGTTTTGTTCCAAAACTCAATCCTTCTGATAAACGCTTCTAAATCAGAAATCATTTCTGCTAGTTCTTTGTGTCTACCCTGAAGCTGCAAATTAAGTTCATTTAATTTTTCTGTAGTCCACAAGAAAACCAAAATCTCTTTTTTTATTTTTTTTTAGCTTCAAGCAAAACAATACTACATATACAGGGTGTTTCAGTTTATTGTTGCATAACTTTAAGATTCGATAGAACTTAGAAAATTAACGCATAAAGCCTATATAAACATGGGTCGAAAAATGCGTGGCTTCCGAAATACAGGGTGTTTAAATTTACTTTCTAAAATAGTTTTTTTTAAATATTTCGAACAATATTTGATGTATAACAGTGAAAATTGATATACAAGGGTTTTTTGGTACGACAAAACGAACCATGGGCATAGTTTTACTGTAGCCGCTAGAGGGCGCTCTCTACTGTATCCCCCTATAGCCCCACGGTACCCAATGGGTGCTTAGGCCTTAGGCCTTCGTGGTAGTTGGAGTATAAAAAACAAAAAAAAAATGACCGTAAATGTTTTCTTAGTGCAAAGTTTTGCTTTTTGAGTAAAAGAACTGATTCTTCGCACTCTTCAACATAAAAAAGCTATCGTGTGAATTTTCGTTATAGTTAGCCGTTTTTGAGATATTTCGATTTTTAAGGTTCGATGCATTTTCAATTATTTACGATAAAATAACGTTAAAAAGTCAGTATCTCGATAATTTTTAGAAGTAGGCTGTGCCTGCAAATATTTCAGAAATTGAAAGCAGAATAACGTTAAACGTCAATTAGTTGACAGTTAGTTTTGTTGTCTGTTGAAACCTGAAACGTTTTTTTGCAATTGTGAATTCACGAAGTTTCTTTTACCTGTTTTTTTTTAAGTTTTATAAAAATGTCATTTTTATTCTCCAATCAAGTTAGCGGATATTCATTTTGTGTATGGCTTTGTAAATGGAAACGCAGCAGAAGCAGCCAGAGAATCCGCACGAAGATTTCCAAACAGACGACATCCAACTCGCTCAGTATTTGTAAGAGTGTATCGCCAAATAATTGAAAATGGTTTTGGAAATCTCCGAAGGGATCAAAACATAAATGTTCGTCAGCGCAGATTTACCCGTGCCTTGGGAATTTCAGCAAGCCATGTTCACCGTGTTCTTAGAAATGACCATAGACGTCCTTACCATTTGCAACCTGTGCAAGGACTACAGCCAGGGGACGGAGAACGAAGAATCACATTTTGTCAGTGGATTCTTGATAGAACTGATAATAATAGGGAGTTTTTAAGTAACGTTTTATGGACCGATGAGCCATGCTTCACTAGACGTGGAGTGGTAAATTTTCATAATCAACATATTTGGCCGCATGAAAATCCGCATGCAGTTCGGGAAAGAAATTTCCAGCATTAATTTAGTGTGAACGTGTGGATTGGTATCTATCGTAATCGACTATTTGGACCCTACCTTTTGCCTGCAAGGTTAAATGCTGCGCCCTTCTTGGAATTTTTAAAGCTGAACCTGCAAATATCTGGGATGATGTTATGTTAGATTTAAGAAGATTGGCCTGGTTCCAGCTTGATGGTTGTCCAGCTCATTATTCGAGAATGGTTAGAAACTGGCTGGACGAAAATTATCCAGAAAGATGGATCGGCCGTGGAAGACCAGTCGCCTGGCCTCCACGATCCGCTGACCTAAATCCATTAGATTTCTTTGTGTGGGGATTTCTAAAAGAAAAAGTGTACCAGACTCCGGTAACCACAAGAGATATGCTAATAGACAGAATCAGAAATGCATGTGATGAAATAAGGCCTTATTTGAATAATGCTATACCACGTTCGATCATTAGTAGATGTGAATTGTGTATTGAACAATTGGGTTTACATTTCGAGCAACTAGATTTTGTATGTTTGTCCTAACTATCCAATAGCATTTTAGTTGTAAATAATTTAATTTGATAAAAATAATATTGGAAAATTAAACAAATTAATATTCTGTTTTTTTGTGTTTATTTGGTGTTAGGAATTATTGCTGTGTTTAAAAACACAATCTAAACGATCATCTTAATTACTTGTAATGCCCAAATCGAAAATTTAAAAAAAAATATTATTTTCTCATAAATAATTAAAAATGCATTGAACCTTAAAAATCGAAATATCTCAAAAACGGCTGAGTATAACGAAAACTCACAGGAAAGGTTTTTTTATGCAGAAAAGTGTGAAGAATCAATTTTTTTATTCAAAAAGCAAAAAGTTGCACCAAGAAAGATTTTTCGGTCGTTTTAATACACTACAGGTACAGTAGAGAGCGCCCTCTAGAGGCTACAGTAAGGCAATGCCCATAGTTCGTTTTGTCGTACCAAAAAACCGTTGTATACCAATTTTCACTGTTATACATCAAATATTGTTCGAAATATTTAAAAAAACAAATTTAAACATCCTGTATTTCGGAAGCCACGCATTTCTCGACCCATGTTTATATAGACTTTATGCATTAATTTTAAAAGTTCTATCGAATTTTAAAGTTATGCAACAATAAACTGAAACACCCTGTATATAATGTTATTATCTAAAACTAACACTATTTTCTACATACATTCTCAATTGCCTTTTGAATTTGACAGAATTTGTAGATTTGATTTTAGCTGGTAAATTATCAAAATCTATAAGGCCTTTATGAAATAAACTATTTTGCGCAAAAGCAGATCCCAGAGCAGGAACATAAAAATCAAACTTATTCCTTGTATTGTAACCATGAATATCACAGACAAATTGCAAACCTTCCTATATGTGTTCGGGATATACATTCCATTCTTTATTTTGTAGATGACTATCATTGTATTGTAAAATATACTTTGTTTGATTCTTAATAAATTAGTTACTTCTAACATGTCTTTAATTCTTGTATATCTATTACATCTTAATATACATCTAAGAGCCTGAATCTATATCACCTTTCTGAAACATATCTAATATGGAGGAACAGTAGTTAAAGTGAGGCATGACTATTGTTTTATATATATAAGTAGTGACGTCCATGAACTAAGGTCCTTTGTTACTCTACACATTAAATTAACTTTTTTAGAAACTTTTTTTATAATACAATCTGCATGGCTATTGAATGTTAAATTTGAGTCTATCATAACTCCTAAATATACTAAGTGACATATAAATCCGAACACCCAGTTTAAATGGTTTTATTTTAATAAAATTTTGTATAAGTACTTAATGAAGCATAATAAGTAAATGATAAAAATTTCAAAATGATTGCACTGCTTTAAAGCCCTTTGACCTTTAATAATGTGTGGATGCACCCTGAT